ATGTTGTAATTGAGGTTGTGTACCACACTTAAATACAAATATATATATGTATATAATTATGCTTATAAAACAATTTTCAAACATCGAAAAACATGTAAAATATTTACTGCAAATATTTGTACATATTATATGTAATCATAAAAATATATGCATTCATTTCTTATTGAAAGTCTTTAAAGAAATTTTTTTATTACCTCCCTTTATTCACATAAAAATGTTCAATTATAAATAACTTTTTTGTAACTTAAAAAATTGATAAATCTTAATTTGGGCTTCATATTTATGATATAAAACCATAAAAAACTGTGTAACAGGAACTTTGTGTAAAAAAAAACTACAATCATATGCTTAATTTATATAAATAATAATCGATACAATTTTGGCAACTCTGTTAATTAATTTGATTAGTGTTGGTCTGTCTGTAATACACTTGTAATATGTGTTAGATATTTTACAATTTTGCATAATGCTTTCTTTTTGTAAATGATCAACTTTGTTTTTTGTTTTTTTGACTAACAAAGACGTGAATTTATTGTGAACAGGGAAAAGTTCTCTCTTTGAAAGCAACTATTTGCCAATTCAACATATGAAACATATACATGTGTTTTGTTTCATGCATGATTTTGTTTGTTTTATTACACACCAAACTTGAGGGTCTAAAGTCTTAGAACTTTAGAACTTAGATGTATGCGTATAAGTAGTTCCCTATTCGTAAACCCTTGTCGAAAGATGCCAGCCTGTTGGGGGGGGGGGGGGGGTCTATATTGTATCTTAGGCAATTGAGTTATTGACAAAGGATGAACAAATCAATATCAACAGCTGATAAACGATAATTGTCAAATCTGTTGTTTTATATATTAAAATATATAGCAAAAAATTATCAAAACATCAATATTTAAAAGATTTTTATCAGTTTTTATGTAGATGATAAAATTATGGGTAATTTTAATCTTATTTTAAAGCATATAAAATGACCCCAAGATGGCGACTATGGGAGGTAATATTTACCATGCAAACGCATCTATATTCCTCATTAATTCTTAAAGAAAGAAAATCCAACATCCAACATATCAACATCGGTTGGTAGCTGTTTTTATAATTTGTTGTAAGTCTGGTATTTTTTTGATGTAAACAACGATCATCGAGCCCAAAAAAAGGAGAAAGGGTAAAAAATCTCGAAACAGTGCTTTGATTACTAATAATATCTCACCTTATTATAATTATATGCTGTTATAAAGTACATAATGTTTTTGTGATTTGATATGCGGACTATGTATAATATGCAAAACGGGAAATGCACTTATATTTCTATATCTATAAATTAAATGTTTTGTTAGAAACATTATTGTTTCGTCAATAAATACACTTGATTGACATTGGCAATAAACCTTGACATTTGTTTACTACGGTACCTCTTGTTTATTTCATCGTAAAACAAATTATTCAAATGCCTTATGTTGCATACATTTTGTTCCACAATTTTGACACAACATGTCCAATAATAGTCACTAAACAGGCTTTTGTATATTTATCATTTTAATGACAAAATTGTTAGCACAATTACCGGACAACGTTATCGGAGGTTTTGTAAAATAATTACATGTGTTGATGTATTGAAAATAACCTTTTCGTTTTATTTTGATCGTTATCGCTTAACACCAGGCATCACATATTGTATTTTCCATTTATTATTACCCTACTTATAACAGATGGTAGATATTGAGTATGAATAATATCAAAACAATCTCAATTTTGCATGTACTTCCATATTACTGGATATTTGTATCTTTCCTTCACGTTAATAACATACTTTTGACTATCATTACGCAATCCGACCCTGCCCATCTGGAAATTAAATTTCGCAATATCAAAAGGAGAGCCACCGTCAGTACAATGTCACAGAAGACTTCAGGACTGACACACAGTAGGTTTGAATATAAGAACGAGCAAAAACGTGAAATGAAACAAAGGGCGATATGCGATATATTGAAAGGCAAAACTATATACTAATTACATTTTTAATTCGTTAAAGCCATACTATGTCTCTAAAATCCATTTATGTCTTAATTCTTTCGACAAGTCAAACATGTGATTAATATTGTCCTTACAATGGATTAAGAGGATGTTAGGTGTTTGATAACTGAAGAAAGTAGCATTTAATGTGCAGTAATGTGTTGTAAAGGTAGCAAAATTAGACCCTCATACAAAATACCATTATTCCTTATTGCCAACAGAGCAAAAGAGGCGAAGGATATTTCACGTGTACGGCAAATATAAGTATCGCTAAGGAAACTGTAATAATATACTAAAATAAAAAAGGATATTTCTATAGCAATATTGAGGGATAATGTGTTTTGTGTATAAAAAACAACAGCTGGCAATAATGGCAAATAGCGTATTACAAAAGTGACAGTATATAATATTATACTGCGCATCCTCAACAGTAATTCAATGTATGCCTCTAGATCTCCCTATCAATGGAGGTCAAAAACATATCAAAACAAGGCTATTGATAATACATAAATGAGCCGCGCCATGACAAAATCAACATTTTGGATTTGCGACCAGCATGGATCCAGACCAGCCTGCGCATCCGCGCAGACTGATCAGGATCCATGCTGTTCGCTAACATACTCTGAAAGCGAACAGCATGGATCCTGATCAGACTGCGCGGATGAGCAGGCTGGTCTTGATCCATGCTGGTCGCAAACCCATTATGTTGGTTTTGTCATGGTGCGGCTCAAATCATCATTTTTGCAAAAGGCATCTGCCATTTTAACCACCAGTTTGCGTACTCTTCATTTTAAGTGTTGCTATATCATAGGTATTGATTATAAAAAATAATTGCTGATTAAATACATGAATGATTCATTGCTTTGTACTGCATATACACGTTATGGATAATAACTTTTGCTTATTAAACAACGGCTTTAACCATCTGTTTCTTGCCATAATATTGATTTTTAACTAATTTTAACGAGATATTGTAAACTTGTATATCAATACTCTATAAAGTATTTTAGATATGTTTCTTGGTTTGAACAAAAAAAGGTACACTGTGAAGCAAAAGCCATTCAGCTCATAGCTCAGTAGTAAGAGAATCATATTTGCAATATAGAAGAAGCTGGTTCGATCTTCGGGCGAGGCGAAACTTCTCCAAGACATTTGATCTTAGAATGGAATGTCTCTGTCAACAGTCTCTGATAATTCAGAAATCATAATGGGTAGATAAATAATAGGTCATTTGCAAAGAAATCGTAATTTAGTTAGTTAGTTAGTTGCCGGCTAACTAGACCGACCGTCAAGATATAGCCAAAATTTGTAGCAATTGATACAAAATCCCCAAAAAAAACAAAACATTAACCTTACTGACTTCTAATCCAAATTTATTTTTTATAATTATTCATTCTATAAAAAACGGATAAAAGTTTTTAAAATTTTCAGTCAATATAATATGATATTAAGTCGTGGTAGGACAAATGCATGTGTATGAAGGTCAATCAATAATGTTCATAATAGATGATAAATTGTTATAATTTAGGAAAGAATTATTCGGGTTTCATAATGGTTATGACTAGGATTATTTGTCTTTGCTGTTTGGGCTTTTTCCTTTGACTTCAATTTTCTTTGTTTCTTTGTGTTTGTGATTTTATCTGTATGTTTGCTGACCTCTTTGTAGAGCACAAGTCTTGCTACCATGTTATCCCGGCAATATGCCTTTTTCAACGTCTGCCTGTAATAAAAGAAAGTAAATTCATATTATATGTTACATGTTAAGATTTTATACTGCACTTAAAGGGATCAATATACACTTTGAGCATGATTTTTAAAATGCTGAATGGGTACAAAAAGGGCCACAAAAACAAAAAAGTTAAATTAAATATTTAGATATTTCGGACAAACGGCACGCACCAACGAAAAACAGATCAAACGCGACTTAGTCCTTCATTTTAAATGTTTCATTGGTATTCTTTTCTTACTTGCGACTAAACCCTGAACGATAACTTAAACATACCGTTAATAAATATAAAAATACTGAAGCAGTAACTTTTCAAATTTAAAACTTTATTTTATCAGGAATTTCTACGCCAGTACAAATGTTGTTTAAGTTTGGCATCTCAACTGAAGGCTTTTTATGTGACAATTAATGTCTATTCGTTCACGAGCTATCCGTTTAACAAATCAAAACAACCTGACAATTGAATTAAAATATATAAATACTTAGTCATGTGTCCAAATGAGTTATTGCTTTATTATTCTGTTCTGTTTAACTGCGTGAAAGAAAATTATTTTTTTACGAATGCCCCGAGACATGAGCGGACATCTGCGGCATACACGTAGAGGCTTTATAATTTAAGTGAAGTCAAAACATCAAAAGACCTGGCAAATATTTTAAACTTTTAAAAAGATCTATTAGATTTAAGTTTAATATAGTTACAGATTTCAAAACAATCAATTGTGTGTAAAATAAAACTAGACAAAATTAAAAGATATTCAATGTTAGTTAATGAGTTAATATTTGGAAGCTACTAATTTATAAAGTACATCAAAAAATAAAAATCTTTTGAGAAATAAAAATAAAAGCATTTTGGGGTAAAATGGATCTTTAAAAGTGAGGAAAATCACAACAAAAGTAGAACAGATAATAGCAACAAAATCGTTACCTTTGTAACCGTATCCAATCTATTAAAACATCGACAATTAACACCACTAAATCATATACCAAAGATAATATGATATTGAGGTTTATTGATAGTGAATACTCAACTGAATAAATTACTGTATAAATTGTATAGCTTTGTAAAAAAGAGATTTACAAATGGAAAATCAATGAAAAAATCACATAAACTACACTCCCATATGTAGATAATTAGCCAATAAAACACTTACATGTCGATTTAAAATTTCAATATTTGGGATGCTCATTTTTTGATTAACCAATCAGTAAGAAACCAGTAATGTTAATGTTAAACGACTGCCTAGGAATGTAACATTTCTTGTCAACAGTTTATGATTATAAATTAAAGGCAACACATCATCGGGATACAAGAATATTTTTCTGGGAGATAAATTTCATCAACATATAGTTGTTTGGATACACGTCGTGAAAGATGATAATTATTCAGCTAGCGTTAGCCCTTGCAATGCTTCATGCATCGGGTGGCACCGGTAAGCGACCATTTTATTGTAGCAAAAAGCTTTGAGTCACTTTATTTCATATAATTATTGTTTTTTTTAAAAATTTCTTCACATGCATATATGATATCATTTAACACAAATTCATTTGCACAATTTCTTTACCTGCTGTAAGCCTGCTACTAAGTATTTATTCAGTACTGGTTATATCTGTCTGACAATGCGGGATTTTTGATTCCAGTTGATTAAGTGTTGATAGATAAATATTTCTTAGTTTGTGTTAGGGACGTGGTAGATATCACAATTTCAAAGCATTTATTTTTAAATATATTTATCATTGCTTTCAGTGCTCCCTCGCGAAAGCTTTTTATCACCTTTTTTGCTGTCCATGATATTTGTTCTTGATATTAGGAATCGTTCAGCTGTGCTTGTTGTCTGTGGTACTTGTGCTTGTTGTCTGTGATTTTTCTATTAAGCTGTTTCGGTGTAGGCTCAATTCTTTGCAGTACACAGGTCCCGTAATTTTTGTATTTCTTTTAAATTTGTTAAATTGTGAGTAACGAAACATTTATGACTCAATACCATTCATGAACAAACTCAATCAAACCGAGCCTGCAACATTTTCAATCAAGCAATGTTTGACTTTTATGATTGCCACGTTTTCTATTAGTTTCATTTGATTTCAAATGATTTGATTTTGAACTTGACTAAATTTACACTAGCATAAAGTGTTAATCAAAGTTAAAAATGTTAAGCTGTTACAAGAATTTTTTTTATCTTGCTTGTGACATCAGTGTATTTGTTTTTACTTTTACATGACTGTTTTATTAACCGAGTACGTTCGCTAATATTAACTTATTTTGAAAAGGATGCTGATTTATTTTAATGAAAGAGACGTAAATCTTAAGGAACTGTACTTCACGAACAAGAATGTCTAATTTTTTTGAGCAATCTTTGCTTATGCAATTAAACTATGCTTGTGAAATATTAATCTTGAATGAGTACCTGTTGAATGATACCGGTATGTTATTTAACATAACTGTACAATATTCTATTAAGACAAATATTGACATGATTTCTACAGTTGTGTACAAATTAAAATATGTTTTGTATTGTACAGATCTATTAAATAAACCATTTATTCTAATATACATTAGAATTAAATTGAGCAAACGCAACATTTGACGAAATTTCTAACAGATCGATTTTGCATGGCGTTTTTATTGCCTTTTCTTTTAAAATTCATCCAGATACTTTTGTCGTTAACATATAATGTCCTTGGCATACCATGCGAAGAGCCAGATAACAATTACTTATATAATACGATGATGTGGAAAATACAAAATGAGCTACTGGGTATTGAAAAATCACAGATATAAAACTAACGTATATAATACCTTTCTTTTCCAGATGTACAGCACAACAAACGTTACGCTTCTAGATTGAAGCAATTACTGTACTCGTCAAACAACATGAACAAACGAGACCTTAGTCCCCACAATAATGGAAATACTAACAACAATAATCCCGACAATAATGGGGAAAATACTCCACACAATAACGGTAATGGAAACACTAACAATAACAATAACAACAACAATAATAATAATCCACACAACAACGGGAACAAGCGAGACCTTACTCCTCACAATAATGGGGAAAATACTCCACACAATAACGGAAATGGAAACACCAACAACAATAACAACAACAACAATAATAATCCACACAACAACGGGAACAAACGAGACCTTAATCCCCACAATAATGGGGAAAATAATCCACACAATAACAGAAATGGTAATCACAACAACAACAACAACAATAATAATAATAATAATCCACACAACAGCAGGGACAAGCGAGACGAAAACCAAGACAATAACGATAATGGACAAAACAACAACGGCAATAATGATGATGATAATGGTGATGATAATAATAATGACAATAATAATGGTGATAACAACGACCAGATGAAGCGTGATCATAATCCCCACAATAATGGTAACAACAGTCCGCATAATAACGGAAACGGAAACAACAATAATGATAATAATGACGGTGATGATGATAACGACGAACAGAAAAAGCGAGATCTTACCCCCCACAATAATGGGGACAATAATCCGCATAATAACGGAAATGGAAACAGCAACAACAACCAGAACAATAATAATAATCCACACAACAACGGGAACAAGCGAGATGAAAACCAAGACAATAACGATAATGGACAAAACAATGGCAACGGTGATGATGATAATGGTGATGAAAATAATGATGATGATGATGATGATAACGACGACCAGAAAAAGCGAGATCTTACCCCTCACATTAATAAGGAAAAAAATCCGCATAATAACGGAAATGGTAACAACAACAACAATAATAATAACAATCCACACAACAACGCGAACAAGCGAGATGAGAACCAGGACAATAACGATAATGGACAAAACAACAACGACAATAATGATGATAATAATGGTGATGATGATAATGATGACAATAATGATGGTGATAACAACGACCAGAGGAAGCGTGATCATAATCCCCACAACAATGGTAACATCAATCCGCATAATAACGGAAACGGAAACAACAATAATGATAATAATGACGGTGATGATGATAACGACGAACAGAGAAAGCGAGACCTTACCCCCCACAATAATGGGGACAATAATCCGCATAATAACGGAAATGTAAACAGAAACAAAAACAACAACAACAATAATTATAATAATCCACACAACAACGGGAACAAGCGAGATGAAAACCAGGACAATAACGATAATGGACAAAACAACAACGACAATAATGATGATAATAATGGTGATGATGATAATGATGACAATAATGATGGTGATAACAACGACCAGAGGAAGCGTGATCATAATCCCCACAATAATGGCAACAACAATCCTCATAATAACGGAAATGGAAACAACAATGATGATGATAATAATGACGATGATGGTGATAACGACGAACAGAAAAAGCGAGATCTTACCCCTCACAATAATGGGGACAATAATCCACATAATAACGGAAATGGTAACAACAACAACAACAACAACAACAATAATAATAACAATCCACAAAACAACGGGAACAAGCGAGATGAAAACCAGGACAATAACGATAATGGACAAAACAACAACGACAATAATGATGATAATAATGGTGATGATGATAATGATGACAATAATGATGGTGATAACAACGACCAGAGGAAGCGTGATCATAATCCCCACAATAATGGCAACAACAATCCTCATAATAACGGAAATGGAAACAACAATGATGATGATAATAATGACGGTGATGATGATAACGACGAACAGAAAAGGCGAGATCTTACCCCCCACAATAATGGGGACAATAATCCGCATAATAACGGAAATGTAAACAGCAACAAAAACAACAACAACAATAATAATAATAATCCACACAACAACGGGAACAAGCGAGATGAAAACCAGGACAATAACGATAATGGACAAGACAACAACGACAATAATGATGATAATAATGGTGATGATGATAATGATGACAATAATGATGGTGATAACAACGACCAGAGGAAGCGTGATCATAATCCCCACAATAATGGCAACAGCAATCCTCATAATAACGGAAATGGAAACAACAATGATGATGATAATAATGACGATGATGGTGATAACGACGAACAGAAAAGGCGAGATCTGACTCCCCACAATAATGGAGACAATAATCGACATAATAACGGAAATGGAAACAACAACAACAATAATAATAACAATCCACACAACAACGGGAACGAGCGAGATAAAAACTAAAAAAATGATGAAAACAATAACGATAATGGACAAAAGAACAACGGCAATAATGATGATAACGACCAGAACAAGCGAGATCTTACTCAACAACAATCCGCATAATAACGAAAACGGAAATAACAACAGCAACAACAAGAATGGAAAATAAAATGTTACAATAACAACAACAACAACACCCCACACAACAACGGAAATTAATACAATGTAAAGAATGATATATTAACACCAGAAATAATAGTTACACTAACACAAATGATAACATCAGCAACAGCAACAACTTTTATTATATATCTATAACAATTACTATTTCTAGGTTATATACTTGCTATAAAAATGGAAACAACAATACGAAATATTAGCGAAAAATAAATAAAATGTTTCTAATTAAACAGTTTTATGTAAACAGTTTCTTTAATTACATCAAGAACATATAATAATAAAATTTATGAAGTACATTGTTCAAGCATTTATCATTGTTTTCTTTTCTTAACATTGTACTTGATCACAAAAGCAAGGTAAAGGCTGGGCAAAATTATGTCCAAGTGAAAATTGGTTTGAATAATACGATCCTCATGTAAGTGAAGAAACCCATTCAAGAAATTTGTCCGCGAAATGCTTAAAATAGAGAAAATAAGAATCCCTAAAGAAAGCCCAACACGGCATAATTAAAAATGTTGCAGGCTCGGTTTGATTGAGCCTGTTTAAGCCTAATTATCGCTGTAATTCTAAATGATCAACCAGGGCATGGTCAATTTTGACCATAGGTGCATGATTAGAAGAAATTTTGTAAAGGTCTACTTGGCAATACGTAGGCACGTTATAGTACTAAGTTGCCATGCAATAGCTAATGCGTGAGCTTGCAATACGTATTACGTGGCCACGTTATCTGTATTACGTGCGCACGCCACCTTATCATAAGGCCGTATAACGATAGAAATAACGCACGCGTGATCTCGTAAAAGATTTCATAATGTCTTTCACGTGCGCACGTTATAGCTGCCATGTGGTCATGTTATATCTATCCAATGACCACGTATTACATGTAGCTATCGCTGGCTCACGTAATAAAAAGGATTTCCTCTGTCCACGTTATGCCATTGTTTCACTTTGATTATCTAATAAAATGTTGAAAGAGTTCTTACTCATTAAGTATAAACAAAAGTAAAAAAGAGTAATAATATTTCATTCTTGGACAATGTATTATCAACTATACGTGTAATATATAGATACGGAGCATGTATCTTACTTTTGCCAACAGCATATACATATATTGTTCCTTTATGATAGTAAATACTATCAAACTACTTATGGTAGATGAGCTTCCAGTATAAACCAACTTATTTTAATAAGTTTTGGATGGTCCACAAGACAATGCTGCATTAAAAAAATAAGTTAGCTCAGGCATTGTTATAGGGTAACTCAATTAGACCTACATTTACATTCCTTTGTAAGTTTTTATCAATCCAGAGAATCCGATGCAGGGCTTATTTTGATCTGAGGAAATCTAAATATGCGTTCTGCATATCCTTGATTATGGGTAAAAAACCTGCAAAATAGTTTAAATTTTCAGAAAAACGAAACAATCAACAAGACGGAAGTATATTGTAATACTTTCTACATGAGCGGCTTTAAGAGAAAATCATTTGAAAAATTACCTCTATTGCCAATTTATACTTAAAATTAAATTATTGTTCAAACAATTACATTGCATAACGAGAAATGAATTTATAGAATCAATAACGAATTTGAGTTGCGCCCCTTGTTTATCATTATTAACCTATTCATATTATCTCGATTCAGAATTATTTGAAAATGTTTAATAAACAACATAAATTTAAACAATTCACAAAAACCACATGGCCAGTTATCGTCAGCTGAGAAGGCCCGTGCTTTTTGGACAAAAGTTTTCAACAAGATGTTTTTTAGTTCTTTTTTTGTGTACCGTACGCTGCTTTTCAAGGAATGATACTGTCGTGTCACATTGAAAGTTCTATGATGACCGCCGTATAGACACATTTGCAGATATTTTATAAAATTCAGAATTTTACAATTTCATGTTACATGTTGATTTCTGCTATAGGGGCTTTGACGGTAGATAACACTCTTTAGTACCGTCCAAGAACAGGTTCAATCAAACCGAGCAAGAAATAATTTTAATTTTTCCGTTTTTAGGCGTTCTTTAGGGATTCATTTTACTTACTATGCAGGAGCTTTAAAATATTGCTGTGTGCGTGCTTGTTGTTGTTACTGTTATATTTTGGCGGTAATTTAGGTCCATACTTAATAATGGTAAAAATGCAGACGGTGCTACATGCTACATAAGCCGTTGCCGCAAGCGTAAGAGATGTTTCATGTTCCAATATCAGCCATGAAAACATTTAATCAAACCAAATTTTGCTCTCTTTCTTTCCTGTACATATTTCCTTAAAATGAATTGGCAATACAGAATTGTTAAATGTTTTATCTATAAAAACAGCACACGTTTAACATTTTATTAATGTTGGATTTATAAGGCAATATCTGATCTGATTTAATAACAAAATGCCAGATTTGAAATGAAAATAAAAATAAACGAGAAATAATGCAAGCATAAATATAAATTTTTGCAATATAAATCATGTGGTCACAGTTCTATAACATAAAAGGAAATATGTAAAAGGGAACAAAACTGTTAAATAAAAGATGTTCCTATTATGTACTACTTTATAAAGTGCCATTCATCTTCCGGCAGACAATAATTTTCACTGCAAGTTTTACTCAGGCCGTTTAATAATTGAATTTTTGCATCATTTCAGTCACTACATTAAATCTTATAAACACGCATTAAATGGCCCATTAAACCACATAAAAGCTATAACCATTTTTTAACCATTCGCCATGTATATTATTCATCTTTTGCTCCTATCATTTTTGGCAATTGGTATACATGTAATTATAGTAATTTTATATTGTGTATTGAAGTCAAAACTCGTTTACATTTCGCTATCTTTACAACACATTACTGCATATTTATGCCTCATTCGTCAGTTCCTCAGCATCATATAAGATGCTTTAAATCCATTTTTTAAAAACATTATAGTCCAATATCACGAGTCGGCCATTTTGGATCGAAAACGAGGCTCTTAACGCAAACAGAAAAATATGGCGTCGTATCACTGCTGCGTTCCAAAGTGTACAAATGACTCAAGATATAATAAAAGTCTTTCATTTCATAGCTTTCCTAGTGATATAAGTAGAAAGAAGTTATGGTTGGTGAAAATCCGACGTGATGAGGGAGCATTTTTCCAGGTATTTATCTAAAATACCGTAAATTCGGTTTTTAACTGTACGTGTTTCGGACATTTTTAAATTCGGATAGTTAAATTATTATCAATATTTACATTGTAAAAATAAAGTGTACTGTAACAATCATGCTCGGTTTTGAGATTTAATAATCTTTAAAGACATTAGTAATATTTATATTCAATTATTTATATTTTCATTTGTAGGTAAAACCACACACCAAGGTTTGCTCAGCTCATTTTACGGACACTGATTTCGTCAGAACATTGACAGGAATCAGATGCCTCAGCAAGACAGCATTTCCGTCGGTATTTGATTGGAGTTTTGAGACACCTTCACGGAAGCCCCCAACTCCACGCTTAAATCCACCAAAGAGAAAGAGACTGACTCTAGGGTAAGTTTTTATAAAGTACTGTGCCGACAATTCTCCATATTAGATTATGGATCTAGCTTATACTTTTTATAAAGATATTCCTTTATTATGCCAATTGTGTTAATGAATTAGGTAATAAACCTCACTAAATATCATATGCAAATCATCTAATTGGTCTACACTGGTCGGATAGATAGAAACAATTGCTAGCAACATGCTAAATTTTTTTTGGCTAATTTGTAACATTTTCTTTTACTTCAGAGATGATGAAGAGTGCAACACTGATGAATCTCAACCCCAAGTAATGACTCCGCAGCCAGTATTTCATGACTACCTAGGACCTGAAAGGGAAATGTCACCTGAAGAGAAATTAAAAGCTGCCTCAGAACACATTGATCAGCTAGAACATCTGGTTGAAACGTTAACTATTGGCAGGTTTGGTCTGCAACGTTTTGCAACTGACCCAAAGTCTCTACAGTTTTACACAGGCTTCAGCTCATACACACTCCTTCTTAATGTGTACAACTTGCTTCGGCCAACAGCAGAGAAAATGACTAGATGGTCTCAGATTCAGAGGAAACGAATGGGATATTCCCAAGAAATAAACACTGACATATCTTTCCGGTCAGAAAGCACACCACTTATTGACCAATTCTTCATGTTTCTGGTTAAAATAAGACTAGGACTTTTTCAACAGGACATAGCTTGTCGATTTAATGTGTCACAATCAACTGTAAGCCGAATAATCATTACTTGGACAAATTTTATGTATTTTCAGCTAGGTTCAATTCCCATATGGCCATCTCGTGAAAAAGTTAATAAGTTTATGCCAGATTGTTTTAAGGAACTTTACCCCTCAACTCGTGTCATTTTAGATTGTACAGAAGTTAAAATACAAACACCATCTGCATTGAGCTTGAATTCGGAGTTTTATTCGCATTACAAGGGGACAACAACATTAAAGGGTCTCATAGGCATTTCACCATCCGGTTGTGTTACCTTTGTGTCTTCCTTATTTGCTGGCTCAATATCAGACCAAAATATAACAAGGCAATCTGGAATCCTTCCGCTAATTGAACCTGGTGACAGTGTGATGGCAGATAAGGGTTTTCTAATTGAGCAAATGTTAGCAGAAAGACAGGCCAGACTTAATATTCCTCCATTTTTAACTAAAAGGGACCAGTTCACTAAAGAGGAAGTTGAAGAGACTCAGGAAATTGCCAGACTTCGGATCCATGTGGAACGCGCCATTCGACGTATAAAAGAATACCACATTTTTGACTCTGTTCTTCCTGTTGCTATTGCTGGATCAGCATTACAACTGTGGACTGTATGTTGTTTATTAACACTGTTCAAAGGACCATTATTTTAAAACAAAAAGTACAATTGATACTCTTAAGACTTTTATTAACTTGGTGCATATAATTCTGCCATTATCATATAGACACCAACATTATCATCAGTAAAAATAAAATGAATAGGTTTCAATACATATTTTCATGTTAACAAGAGCCATCAAGTCATTGAAGTGGAAGTGTTTAAGTTCATAAAAAGTGTTCTTTTAAAATTGAAAAAATGGTTTAAAATTATGTGGAGAATGAGATGAACATGTTAATTCCATTAAAATATAAAAAATAGATATATCTGTGTTTCTGTTTTATTTTGAATTAAAAAAAAGCTGGCAAAAAATTTAATCTGATGACATGTCATTGATAATCTAATCTAATATTATCTATAATCAACAAACTTTAAAGTAAAATGAGATATTTAAAATGTCTGTGAGCTGGAACATTACATCCCAGCTGTGAGATATAAGTCATACCATTATCACACTCCAAAGCATGAGTGATTTCAGCAATAAAACATTATTAACAAATCATATAATTATATAGCTAAGCAAAAAATATATTGCATGTAAAGATATTGATCATGTTCACTGCCTGTAGGTGCTATTTTACTGTTTGACTTATGCAATAAGAGCTTTTTGCATGTTATGACCTTTTTGGTAATATTTGTTGCATTATTTTCAAGTGTAAATTACTTTCAATGTTTCCCTGACAATATTTCAATTTTTAATACAATTAACAAAAAAATCTGAAACTGCACTCATCTGAAAGCATGCTGCTTTAAGAAGCTCTTTTTATGCGCAAATTTCAATTTTATTGTTTAGACAAACTTTCTCATGAAATGATCAAAATAAAAAACAATCAGTTTCTCATATGCTTCACACCATACATCCTTGTCGAAGTAAATCCTTTCAATGTGCATATCGTTCTGTGTCCATACACAGAAATCAGCCCATGTTAGGCCTGTGAGAGCCATCTGGCCCATGACCTGCAAATAATATGAATGTGAATGTTTAAGGCTATAAGTACCGTCCGCATTTTCACGTAGGAACTGGGATTCTGTGTATGATTCTTTCACTGGACATTTAACTTCCAAAACACCAAACTGACATATTTCATTTGGATCATAAACTATCCTGTCTAGAGATGTTCCAAGAAATGGCGCATCAGGGTTTATGACAAAGCCACATGGTTTAATATTAACATTTTTATGTGTTGCATACTCCAGCACTGCATTACCTTCATTTTCAATACCATGTTTCATCGCTGCAGTCTGGACTTTACGTGAACTACTTAACATTTCTGTTAATGTATCGAAATCCTTTCTACGCACAACAATGTCCTTGAATGTTGAAGAAGTAAGACGTTTTTTCCTAAGGTTGTGCCATTCAGGGCAATCACTTTGTTTCCGAGTTAGTTGTTCAAGCTCCTCTGCTAGCTCCTGACTCACACCTATGCCATCAAAAAACAGTTGTTCATTTTCACTTAGTACTCTCTCATATGTACGCCTCAAATCATGTGTTGAAAATGGCAACTGTGGGAATTCCGGTCCATCTGGAATCCGAGTTATGCTTCCATCAGATTCCGGTTCAGGCAACTGATGTGCAAGACAGCTACCACTTAAAACACTACCAAATGAGCTCATTTTTGTTTCAATACTGTCAAAATTGTCCGGCAACACTTGGTTAAACTGAATTTCAGAATTTGAAACAATTAATTGTAATCCTTTCATAAATTCAATGTCTGGAAACTGTGTATTGATAGGATTGTACAGTGTGCTACATACACATTGCTCAGAATTTTCATTTTTCTTTGACTTTGGTTTCACAAACTTAACATCTGAGAGTTGCCTTGGCACAATTCCATGAGTTCTCGGTGGCACTTGCCAAAGTTGTGGAGATGAAGTTTTTGAAACAATATCGGGAACAGATTTCATTTTCAGGGTTTTGTAGTGTGCAAGTTGATACACAAGGGCAGCCACATGAGCACATGAACCTTTCCCAGCCGAACATGCACAGTACTGGCTCTCAATTTCTTTTGTGTTCAACAGGGATATCTGAAAGTATAATTATAAAGCATGTTTTATTCACAAATGTAAACAAATATTATTATAAAATATGAATTCGTTTCCCTTTCTGTCAATTTATATAGCATGAGTTGAACCACCGACCTTCTATGAGCTACCTCGATACTTCCTCACATGAAAGAATCCAATATCCCTATCGGGATTCGAACCCACATTATTGAGAAGCCAATTTTTTAAAGTCAACCACCTTAGCCATTCGGTTAAGGAATTATGTAGTGAAGATATTTTTTTGAACTTAAATCAGAGAAACATATAGAGAATCTATCTACATAAATGTATTCACTATTGAATCAATTTAATTCTGAGATATTAAATTACAAATGTCAGTAATGTCCTAGAACCAGGCACAACTGGCTTTACACTTGATGGACTCATGGATGGGAACTATGTAGTTGCTTAATTTTCCAGCTATAAAGCCCCATTTAAAAAAACACACTATATAGTGAGCCGTGTCATGACAAAACCAACATTATGGGTTTGTGACCAGCATGGATCCAGACCAGCCTGCGCATCCGCGCAGTCTGATCAGGATCCATGTTGTTCGCTATCAGTTTCTCTACATGTAATAAAATTGATAAGCGAACAGCATTGATCCTAATCAGACTGCGCGGATGCGCAGGCTGGTCTGGATCTAGGCTGGTCGCAAACCCATTATTTTGGTTTTGTCATGACACGGCTCATATAAAATAATAATATAGTGTACACTAAAATGTCCATTAAACTACTGTAATATGTTATCAAAAATCATTATCAGTATTGAATCATCTAACAACAGACAAAAAACTACAGTAAAAAAATAAGCTACTTACATGCAATGACCATGGTGACTCGTTTTTTTCATGGATCGGAAACATTTTCCTCGCACATGGCAACCTTCTTTGTTCATCTTCACTGAAAGTAAACCAGTAATTTTCTTTATTATTTACAATATCCATTGTCCTTTTATCGGATCTATATTTAATAGCCTGTCAAATATTTAGAAAAATCACTTTCTATAGGCTGAATGCCTTCAAGCTATAAAGAAACACGATTATAATCTATGTGTAAGTGAACGCATGGTGTGTAACACAATATGCATAAATGTACATGACAGCGTGGGATAGTTTATTTTTAGCTTGATGACTATATATGGAGTCTATTTTTAACGAAGGGAATCACAAAAGGTCATGATGTGTAACCTTTCAACTTACCTTCAATATTATGCACATACGAGCCATGAAAAAACTTGTAGCCTTTGTCAAGATGTTTAGTTGGAACTTTAGAGTGTTTCTGAATTATTTTTACAACGTCACACATTGAAATGTCTGGAACAATCGATAAATTATTTGTCCATCCCGGTTCGCTGAGAGGTTTTCGTGACGCCATTGTTTGTATAGGAAATATCCTGCGTTAAGAGCCTCGTTTTGAAAATTTTCAAAACGAGGCGTGAATACCGTCTATTGAACATTAATTTGATTTGGCATTTCATATGATTTTTTTTATTTCTAAGGCATAAAGTGCATTATCCAGACCAGGTGAAAAATGACTACATGTTCTATATGAAATCATTTATGTTTAAAACCTATTTACACAACATCAATCATCTTCAGACACTATTATGTTTGAGACTCGCGGATTTGTTTCTTTAGCGTTTCGTCCATTAGTGAAATATTTTAACAATTCCTAGGATCTAACGGAACAAAGCAAGTTTTTGCAATTTGCAGACTCGTAATAGCTTCAACAAAATGAAAGATGTATCTAATGTCTGTTTGTTCCAGACACCGCATGCATCATTTAAGCATTTTGAATGCGTTATTATAAAACGATTAAATTGTTTTCACATGCACTTATTCAACAACTTCGATGGTTGCTGTATAATTAATATTCTATGAGAAGGCATTTAGAGTAATGAAGAGAACGACCTACCTACTCAGCAAGTTATATTGTAGAATTTTGAAAGAATTATTTGTCACGGTCTAGAATTGTTTATTTATTATACTTTTATCAAAACTTAGAGAACTATATGTAATAAAACCAATCCCCGATCATCGTATTTGATTGCAATATGGTTTAAAGTCGAGATCTAGACTATAGCTTTAATTCGAACGTCACCACTTCTAGATGGGGTGTCGGTTTTTTTTATTTTCCAAACACCGATATTTCGCAATATTATATATGACAATTACGAAGAGAAAATATTTTAGATATTCTAACGACTTGATATTAGCTTGGGATTCGTGTGTGAATGCTAATTAAATTTCAGAATGCTTTATCTGTGAAACAGTAACTAGAAAATTAGATTTATCTGGAAAGCAATAAGGATAAATTAAAAAAGCAAGACAACTCTCGTTTGTCTTAAATTTGTGTTAGAAATTTTAATTGTTTGGTTCAAGATTAACCCAACAAATTAACTTAAGGCAAACATATGTATTGGATATATAGATTAGACTTTAAAATAGATTAAAGCATGTTGTTTTTATTATTTCGCTCAAACGAAGTAGATAATCAACAATAACAAGGATGTACCTACTGATTCAAACATCGATACGTTCACGAAGCTGGACGTAGAAACCGAGCTATCAATAAATGCAATGAAAGAAGAGGTTCTTTATCTGGTGCACAACTATAAATAATATACTGCAATACAAACTTCCCATCATTCCAACTAATCAACTATTAATTTTTCAGTCGAAGTTATCCTTAGAATAATTGGCGCCTAACCCTATTTAATTTCTAAAAACTTTTGCAAAACGCATAGATTAATTGGTAAATATCTATTTTAAGCAATATTATGTTTCATATGCCATTAACCCACAATGATTAGGAGTGTTATAAACAAAAATGGTGATATAAATGGTGCACGCTATACGCCAAATACGACGTCATTTAAATTTCGCAATCTCTTATATGTTATCATGACAAATTAAAGTAATATTTTGTCACAGATCCATCATGTTTAAACAAAACAGATTGACATATGATTAACAAGATCAACAAGGAAAGGCCGCGTTCATTGAACGCAATCCCAACACGACCGAGCAGCAAGGAGAGCCAGAAGCCCAGGAGGACCGCACAACTGTCAACACATTGACAGGTGTAATTGTAAATCCTGAGACAAATTTTGGAAACTGTTTTCTATGTCAATTCCCGAAAGAAACAACCTATGCAAACAATACTTTACCACTTAAATTGTGATTGTATAACATATAAAATACTAATACGAAGACTTCAATGATAACATGGTAGGCACTGTGCTACATTTTAATATCTCATTACGCCTTAAGGCTGTAGAAGGAAGTTAGTTTTTTTCTAGTTTTATACCATTTATACTAAAGAAATGTGTCTCCTTCCACAGCGATACAAGACTTAATGAGACAATAAAATAACCTGTTTTGTCATACGTTATTTTAAACTGAATAATTAATATCCTATTTCATGTTTGTGATGGTTTTAGAAAAGAAAAGGAATTACATGCGCGTGATATCATTTAAATTAGTTTTGTTTCTTGGATACAGTAAAGTAGAGAAACAGAATCCCTAAAGAAAGCAAAACACGCCAAATTTGAAAATGTTGCAGGCTTGGTTTGATTGAGACTGTTCATGGACCGTAGTGGAAAGTGCAAGTTACATCCAAGCACCCTAGCACCGGCTTAAGTAGAATTCAACTTTTTTAACACGAAAATGGTGAAACTTTGAATTTAGAAACATCCGCAGATGTGTTTATACGGCAGTTATCATGGAACTTTCAATGTGACACTTTCGTATCATTCCATGAAAAGCGGCGTATGGTCCCCCAACTAAAAGAATACGTGTGCCCTAAACGAAAACAAATGGGCGGAACTATGGGTTACGATGCCTGCATATCACAGAAAAGCTGTAAAAAAAACAACAACAAAAAACAGGCAACTTATCCTAAATGTGATTTCACAGTATTCAGGTGAGTAAATACTGGAACCGCCCGACTACAAAAACACCAAATTTGAAAGTACTAAAAGTCCCAAAAACATGCACTTACAACAATAATGTCGTGCTGAAAGATTCAATGAGAGAAAATATAACATCTTTGATAAAATGTAAGGGGATACATTATACAACCACACGGCACAAATAACACTGATGAGACCATAAAATAGAGAAAACAGTAAATATGTTTCAATTTTTGGCGAAGCGCGACGCCCCTTATGGAATGAAATCAGATTTTGTGAAAGGGCTATTGCTACTTCTCGGGCCTTTCAGTCGGTCATAAAAGCCGAACATTCCAATTGATATGAGGGTGTTTGATTATTAAAAATGAAATGTCGCGATATGTTCAATGAATAGCAAACTGGAGAATTTTGCAATGCAAACATATTCAAATAAAACAATCTTTTCCCATCAATTAATCGCGCTTTCCGGGTTTTTTTATTAATCATTTTGTAGTACTACAGTGGGTTTTTATGTATGTTATTATTGTACACGTATCCGAAAGCTATAAATATAATGATGACCTTAACATTGTGAAAGTCCGAAAATCTATTTATAGAAGAAGTTTTAGTTTAAGCAGTAGTATACTATAAAACCTATTTGCTGTTCAAGTCTTTTTTTCTAAAATCGACCCTAATTTTCCTATTGATTTTGACTACTATTTGTATGTTCAAAAGAAAATACCACATGAACTTGAAATTCCATCAACTTACCAATATTAATGATAATATCCAAAAAAAAAACCTATATAGTATAAATAAACTTATACCATACGGGGAGTATATTTTGGATATCATTGACCTGTATATTTCGGATATTATCGTTAATATTGATACAATTTCTACTTCCTGTGAAAAAAACACATTCTAATCTCTTGCATGCATTGTACAATTCTGGTAAAACCCAATTAACCATTGAAAAGTTTATAAGAATATCTTGTCATCATATGTCTACTTGTTCATCTTCACTTCTTGCTTGGACGCCCTTTGATGCTTTTCATCGATGCTTTTCTTGTACAAACTTGTTTTCACTTTCAAAATGACACCTTTTTATGCACTACATTGCTGGTCCCTTACAAGGACAAGGGAACAAATATAAAGAATCATTCGTCTGTCCGCTTAGATCAGTAGGGAGTACATATACGCAGTAAATAAGCGTTCGCCAGTTTGATCATCGGGCGAGGCCGAGGCAATATTTATTTGTAACAATTGAGGCCAATGAGGACATTTAGGCTTTTAGTCATTTGTCTCTTATTGCTGATTCTGGAATCATCTGGGTAATGTAGTCGTCCCTTGCAGATAATTTGGTAATTACTGATTGATCATCCAGTCAAGCAGGTTTGCTGAATAGGACAGTGATATAATTATGACAAAAATTAAGCTAAAGTCGGAGTAAAATAAAAAAAAACAACAACAAAACAAAAACAAGGGAACATTGTCATGACCAAAGTAGTGCTACATTTAACAATTTTTGTTTTAAGTACCATATACAGCCAAACCAGTTTTAATGAATAAACAATCACCTTGTATCTAAAGACCATTAAAAACCCTTCATTCATAAAATCTAAAAAAAGACCCAAGACCCACTTGTCTAGAGGCCATGTCCAGTCTCTCCTTTAGAGATCATCACCAAGCTACAGCAAGGTTACGTTTGCAGTTTTCTTGTAGATGTATTTACCTGTATATGTTGATAATGTCGCAGTGAGCATTGATAAATGTTATGTTGATTTACTTAATATGTTGAGTTTGCTTATTAACACCTTTATTTCCAAATCAGCCTTATTCAGTAAAGATTGCATATCGTTATCTTATGACATTTAAGTAAGTCATCAACGGTTAGTAACAGCAATAAACTGTTTTTGTAACAGAGCAGACCATTTTTTCAATAAAATTAACTTTTCGTTCATCCTATAACATTTTGCAGTAATTTTCAGTAAATGCCACAGAGAATATTAGTTAATAATAGAAATATGATCGGAACAACACAAGATAGAGATCATAAAAATCATCGTCTTTTCCGTACAATAACATTTATTACCTTGAAATCTCTTGTGTAACAAAATAGCAATTCCAAGTCAAGAAATGTTTCTTTCAATATTAAGACTGGCCAATTCAATACGAACAAGATATTATTTCTATTAAACCAGAATAACCAGGGGATGGAGTCTTTACAAATTTACAGACCTATCTATTAGATTTTCTCGTACTGTTATTAAATGTGTATTTCATATCTTCCTAGCAATTCTTTATAATATAAAGTTGTTGATTTGTATTTAATAATTCTGTCTGGACACATGGTGCATTTTTGCCAATGGGTTTGAAAAGTTGTTCTATTCTATAAAGAAATCTTGAAATAATACGTTTTCAGATGTCTGCTCACATGTAATAACATTGTGAGATTTTAACTAACATTTTCTAACACAATTCTACTATTAAATAAACATGATTATAAAAATATAAAACTTGAGTGTTATGGCAGCGTTCATTTAAGAACCTTGG